TATTTATTTAACTTATTCTTATATATTTAATTGATATTCATTTTTCTAAATTGATTTCATATTCATATTATATATATTTAAATGTATGTAGCTTACTAATATTTCTTTATTGAATAATTTTAACATTAAATTAAAATGTAAACTTTATTTTGTGAAGATAAGGAACATTTAGATAATCCTCTCAATTTATTTTGTTTAGAAGTTGATTGTTAACAAAAAGGATTGATTTGTTCATTTTGTTTATTAAAATCTCATCAAAATCATGTTAAGAATGTATTCCCACTTAAAACAATCATTCAAAGTCTTAATAAAGCTAATAATCCTAAAAATTAATAAGAATTACACAATAAGGGAAATGAAATATTTGGAAAACATCATAAAATTAAACAAACTTTCAGATAAAACTTAATTGAAATAAAAGAAATCCTCAATAAACTAGAAAGAGAAATAGAAAAATAAATTAAATTACTTGATTTGGAGGCAGATTTATTTGTTGGTGATGCATTTGAAAAATCAATATCAATGTTGAATATGGAAAAATTAACAAAAGTTTAGATAGAATCAGCAATTGAAAAGATAGAACCTCTTTTAAAAACATGTGATGGATAAATATGGATATTAAGAGATACTGAAATTAATTAGTAAGCTCAAAAACTCATAAAGACAGCAGAAGTGATTGAAAGAGAGAGTAAATATTGGTTAGAGAAAGTAATATATTAGAGTATCTTTTTATTAGTGTTTGAATGATTTGAAAAAATTATTTGAAACTTGTTAAAATCCAATAAAAAAATAAGTTAAGATATTAAGTAGTTAAAATAGATTTCAATTGACTTATGAATAATGGAATTTGAAAGAGACTGATGCTATTTGTTTAAGATCAAAAAAGAAACATGATATTTGGCTTTCTGGTGTAGGATTATATGAAATTACAACTTGGCCAGAATCAGAGTTATCATTTTAAGTACAAATATTTGAAGGATCAAATCTTAATAGGTATTATAATTATTTTAATTAGTAAAAAAATAATTTACTAAGATAAGTTTGTTATTAAAAATGACATGGAATTTGTAAATCATATTGGCAAATTGTATTTCACAAAGGCAATTAAAATTGAATATGATAAACCCTATACTATTGGTATTTTCTATTAATTAAAATATAGCTTTGACACCTAATCAAAGTTGTTTAAGTTATTATGGAGCTAATGGAAAATTTGAGACTGATGAATTCTAATTTGAAGAACCTAAATTTAATCAAGAATATAGTGATAATTCAACAACTATTAATTAGGGTGTAGTTCCCTAATTCTTTTACGAGGAGTGATATATACTCAAAAAATATTAATAATGTATCTTATATTTATTCATCTCAATGCAAGGCAACGAGAGTTCTTAGATTCTCAATTTCAGCAGCCATGATTGTCACTAAGCATAACAAATCAGATAGTCTTCTATCATCTTTTGATAAAGGTTATCCATTTGATTACAATAATCCTCCATTCTATAATTATTAAACTTATTATTATAATTATTGAACTTGTAATTAAAGTTATTATTCATCATTACCACTAGATTTGATTGGAAGAATTTCAGGCCTAATAAATTATAAATATCATATATACTTTGAATCTTTCAACCTCTTTAATTCCATAGTCAACAAAGCAATCTTATTTTCATACTCACTAACTTGATCTTCAAGTTTAAGATTTTCATTTTATAATTATTCTAATTTACCTTAAGCAGGATCATTACCCTAACTTCCAGTTCTTTTCAATATTTCAGGAGATGCAGCTTATGATTATAATTATTTTGCAGCCTATTGTAAACGTTCATTTTCAGCTTACATAATCATGATTTTAGTTAAAAGTGCTTCAGTATCTTATTTATTCTTTTTTTCTTTTAATTAAGCTAAATTAACTCTAGCTAATTCAGCTCTTAACATTTTGAATTATTATTCATATCTTCTTAATAATTCATTTAAATCCTCTATTTCTTTATTTTTTTCATCCAATTAATTCAATAAATTATCATATGCTTCTCTATCAATAACATTATCTTAATTAGATGCAGCTAATTCTTTAAGTGCTTCTTATTCTTAAGCTAATTCTATTAATCTTTTTTATGCTTCATCATGATCTTCTTCCATTTATTCAATATCATTATTTAATTTTTAAACTTAATCTTTTAATTACTTTTCTTAATCTTATAATAATTTATTTTAATGTTCTTAATCAGAACAGAGTTTATGATAATATTCACATAATTCTCTTTCATCATGTAATTTATCAATTAAATCTTGAATTTAATTAAGTAAACGATTCCTTGTTTTTTCCAAGTCTTCAATTTAATCTTCTAAATCAGTAATCTTATCTTCTAAATCATTTAATCTATCTTAATCTTTTTCTTTATCAGCTTCTTCCTAAGCTTTTTCATCTGCTAAATCTTGAAGTTATTATTTAGCTTCCAAAGCAGCAGCTTATGCTTATTCTTTTTCATCATTCAAATCTTATAATTAATCATTAACTCTATTAAGTTCATCCTCTTATTCTTTAAGAGACTTTTATAAATAATCCTTATCTAACAAAGCTTCAGTTAATTAATCTTATAAATCATTTAACTAATTTCTTAGATCATCATTTTCAGTTTAAGCCAATAATAATTTTTCTTTTAAGGCAGCAAGTTCATCTTATAATTATTTAATTAACTTTTTAGCTTCCTCTAATTATCTATCTAATTCATTTGATTTCTTTTTAAGTTCATTATTATCTTTTTCAGCATCCTTTAATTTTTAAGAAGTCTAGGCTAATTATTATTATGCTTATTCTGCTTATTTTGCTTATCTATTTTATTTGGCTGCAGAAACTGATCCATTATCACTTAATTATTCTAATTTATATATATTGAGATTACTTTGTAAATTATCATTCAATTATTTTTCTCTTTCAATACCAGATGCAACATCTTAATTTAATTTATCTATTAATCCATTTAATCTATCAATTTCAGCCTTCAATTACTCAACTAATTATTCTAGTTCTCTTATTCTCCTTTAATTTTTAGCATCAT